GAAAGAGAAAACACAACTCCACCGAGTCATCCTCTAACCTCCACACGGGTGCTGGGGCAGCCACACACCCACACACAGTAACGATCATACAATGTTTTAAAAATGGCAGGTGGCTCCTTAGGAGGGATAAAACTTCCATCTCTAAGCAGGTTGTGCCGCATCAAAGACTTCCTGACTGAAGGCCGAGTGTGGAGTGCTGAACCTTTAATCTATACCCTGATATAAAACTAGTTAATTAAGTCCTGCCTATTGACTAGTTAGTCATCTCTGACCTTTAGTCAAAAATTTTCCTTCCCAAACACAAAGAGTACTTAAGAGACAGAAAGCCTACTTACTCAGATTCCATTGTTAAACGTCAAATGGTCAAACTATGCAGCATCAATACATATCATTAATATTTGCTAATTAAAATATTTTTCTAGTGATGGGGAATCAAACCCAGGGCCTCAGTATGCCAATCATGGGCCCTAACTGGGATACTTCCCCAGGCCCTAGTCTTGTCTACAATTCATGGCAATCCTTCTGCCTCAGCCTCTTGGGTGCTGGTGTTACAGTTAGGGGCCATTCATTATACTTGGCAATAAACACTCTTCCAACTGCTATATCCTTACTCCCCTAGGCCCTGGAATATTTCCTGATGGGTCCGAGAAACAAAAGAATTACCCTAACTTGGCTAGGTAACACACACTCCAGGTAGCAGCTATGGGAGTAATTAAGCATCTCTTGTTTTTCAGCACAGGCGACTGAACAAAGGCTGTACATGCTAGGCAAGGGCTCTGTCATTGAATTATATCCTGGTCTGCGGCGGTGATGAGCAGAACACTGAGGACTCTCCTAGGTCTTGCTTCTATGACTCGGAATCAGCAGGCACAGATGAGAGGGCTCTAGGAAGCTTTGCTGGAGGGAAGGCAGGGGCCATGGTGGGCCAAATGATGGGGGAGGGGAATAAGGGTAAACAGAGGCTTGGGAATGAGGCCTGTGGCTCACATGATGAGTGGCCTGGGTGGAACAAGCTGTATGTAGCTTGGGAGGAGAACTCAAGGGAAGCTCTTTTTTCCCCCCTTTAATCTTTGAAATATGTTTAAGTGTGTTTAAAAACACACAGAATGTAAAATTTACCATCTAACCTCCTTGTCTTATATTTTATTTTATTTGAGACAGGATCTCACTATGTAACCTTTGCTGACTTGGAACTTGTTATGTAGACCAGGCTGGCCTGGAACTCAGAGATCCACCTGCCTCTGCCTCCTGAGTGCTGGGATTAAAGGCGTGTGCCATTATACCCAGTACCTGCCTCTGCCTCCTGAGGGCTGGGATTAAAGGCGTGTGCCATTATACCCAGATGGCTTTTGATTTTTGGTAAGGTTGAACTGACGAAAAGGTAAGATGTCCTTGAACACCTGGTCCTCCTGCCTCCACCTCCTATCTGCTCACTGCGATTTCAACTGTTTCTAAGAATTTAACTTCCTGAAAACCTGAGAACAGACTTGTACAGCGCTGTTAGCTATGCTTGGGTCTGGGTTTTCCCAAGAACTGAAAGTAATAAATTCACTTGGCAACTCTTATAAAGGCAAACATTTAATTGGTGATGGCTTACAGGTTCAGAGGGTTAGCCCATTATCACCATGGCAAGAAGAATGGAGGTGCACAGGCAGACATGGTGCTGGAGAAGGGGCCAAAAGTTCTACACCTGGATTAGCAGGCAGCAGGAAAAGAGAAAGAGAGAGAGAGAGAGAGAGAGAGAGAGAGAGACAGAGACAGAGAGAGAGACAGAGAGAGAGAGAGAGAGAGCCTAACTTGAGCATCTGAAACCTCAAAGCCCACCCCCAGCTTTATGCTTCCGCACAAGGCCTCACCTCCTAATGGTGCCACTCACTATGAGCCTATGGGAGCCATTTTTACTCAAACCACCACCACAGTTACTAAAGGGATTAGTTTGGATGGTTTCCTTATTTTGATTGATGCACTAGGACATACATTCATTTTTTTCCTACTACCTATGTCCCTTCCCACAAAGCATCTGACTTTAATCACATGCATACCCAGTTATGCAGAGACATAACATAGTAAATATGGCGTCTCCCTAAAATGTTGCTTAAGGACACACTTTTGTTTTACATCACATGTACCCAAACCCATTCAGGTCAGCTTGGCCCTTCTGTTCTTCATATCTAGATATGTTTGAAATGGTCTGAATTTGATTGTTACCAGTGACAGAAAATTTGCACCATTGTTCAGAGATGGGAGCACACATAGCTCAGCACAGGGGTTCTGAGGTTGCTAGGGACATTACTCCAAGCGGAGGGGGCTGCATAACCCATAACCCACCCAACTCCTGCCCTCCCCTCTTGAGTGCCAGGTTACAGCTACGTATAACACACCTCTTTTCCTTTCTGGTGTTATTTTTGTTTGTTTGTTGTTGACATATGCTGTAATTATACATTATAATGGATTTCAACATGACATTTTCATATGTGTATTTTGATCATATTTTCTCCCCTTTTAAGGCAGATGACACCTGCTGTGTATATACAGTACATGTTGCTTAGCCTTTCATCCACCTAAAATGCTTGGTATAACGAGAGTCTTTCCCATTGACATCATTGGCATAAGAAAATACCTGGAGGTGGGTAGCATATAATGAAAAGAGGGTTACTTAGTTCAAGGATTTGGAAGATCACTAGCCCGCACTGACCTTAGTTCTGGTCTGCTATGGGCCCCTGACTCAGCCACAGTCCACTACTCTTCACCTATTAAAAATTCAGAGACTGACCAAATAACCAGGGGGCCTGCATGGGACTGAGCTAGAGACTCTGCATATAGGTTACAGTTGTGTAGCTTGATCCTCTTTGGGGCTCCTCACAGAGGGAGCAGGGGTTATCTCTGACTCTTTTACTCGCATTTGGGACCCTACTCCTCATACTGGGTTGTGAAGGTGCTTAGTCTTACTGCAATTTGACATGCCATGTTTTGTTAATATTCATGGGAGATCTGCCCTTTCCTAAACAAAAACAGAGTAGAAGTGGATTGGGGGTGGGAACAGAAGGGAGATGAGGGGAAGGGACTGGAGGAGAGGAGGGAAGGGAAACTGAGGCCCAGATGTAAAATAAATAAATTTATAAAAAAAAATTCTAGGGCTGGAGAGATGGCTCAGAGGTTAAGAGCACTGCCTGCTCTTCCAGAGGACCCGAGTTCAATTCCTAGCAACCACATGATGACCACATGATAACAACCATCCCCAGTGATATCTGGTGCCCTCTTCTGGCCTGGAGACAGAACAATGTACATATAATAAATAAATAAATCTTTAAAACAAAATTCTACCATCCCCCAGTACAGCTCCACACTTAGGACTTAACTTGCAACACCTGAGCCTTTGTGGGGCACAGGTCAAACAGATCCAAACCATAGCACTGTTTACCCTTCTTGGCTACTATGAGTTATGTGGATGTCAATCTTAGTAGAGAAGTCCATTTATCTGTGACCCTGCTTATCTATCTATCTATCTATCTATCTATCTATCTATCTATCTATTTATCTAGCTATCTTTATTTTTTTAATTACGTGTATGCAAATGTGTCTGTTTCTGTGTGCGGTGTTTGTAAATGAATTTAGGTGCCTATGGACACCAGCGCCTATGGACACTAGCGACATGAGGTCCCCTTGGAGCTGGAGTTACAGGAAGTTGTGAGTCACCTGACCCGGGTTCTGGGAATCAAACTTGGGCCCTCTACAAGAACAGTAAAAGCTCTTTACCTCTAAGCCGCCTCTTCAGCCCCTCTGACCCTGTTCTTAAATTTTTATTAGTTTACAAAGAGGTTTTAATATGGCGTGTTTTCGAATAACTTTTGTCTCACTGTTTCTCCCTTCCCTTTCTTCCACAATTCTTCCCCCTTGCCATCTCACCCCCAGAGACCCCTCTCCACTTCTATGTCACAAGGGACACTTTTTAATTTCATTGTTGATTTGAGATAGGGTCTCCCTAAGTAGCCCAGGCTATCCTCCGATTCAGTCCTGTTTGACTCCCCAGAGCTGGGACTTTGGAAGTGTGCCACCAAAGGCAGCTTGTGGAGCTCTGCTTTACTTCCTTGGGTACACTCTCAGAAGTGGGATTGTTAAATTGCAGAAATACTTTTGAACCTGCCTCTGGCTCCTTATCAGAGGCCATTTGGGTGTGCCCAGGCAAGTGGATAATAGACTCACCCGTGGGCCCCATTTACCTGCCTGAGGGAACAGGGGTCAATCGTACCTATGCAAGCTTGATGGCTACTCTGAGGAATCCAGCCAGTGCCATGTCTGGTCCAAGACAGCTGTCCCACCCTGCTGCTCCAGTCACAGGTTGAATGCACATAAAGAACACACATCCTGGAGTCTACCAGGCAGGCCCAACACACCACCAATAACTGAAGACATGGACAAGGCTTCCACTCTGGGTAGTCCCATCAGAACTATTTATCTCACATAGCAGTCACTTTGGGGTCAGATCCTGAATGTGCCACCTCCCTCAGGCAAGGCTTGTGAGAAGACAGTTAGAGGGCAGGGTGTTCAGGCCACTCTCTGTGCTTATCAGTGGGTATCCTGGATCCAGAGTACCAAATCCAGGTCCTGCCTAGGCTGGGTGCTTGGAATCCCACCTACTTTGAGCACCCAGAGCAGAGGCTGGTTCCAGATGCCTCTCAGATAGTGTGAGGAATCCCTGACAAGACATGCAAGCCTAGATGGTGGCCCCAGCAGCACACAGCACTAGTGTCTCATCCGGGATCTCCCCCTAACCTCCTATCCAGCCTAGGGGAGACACAGGACCGCTGGCCCAGCTACACCCTAACAACCAGACTTCAGTTCACAGGCCAGGGGTGGAGCCAAGGTGACTTTGCATCTAGGGGAGGGACATGGACCCTTTACAGCCAGGAACAAAGTCCTTCTCTGACTTGAGTCCAGGCAGGCTAAGCGGTAGCTGGTACCTTAGTTTTCTGCCGGGTAATCTACCAATAGCCCCAGCCATGCAGGGAGACCAGGTGCTGCTATTGCTGTTGTTGGGCCTCAAGATACATCTGTCCTTTGGTGTTATCCCCGGTAAGAAGGCTCTTTTCTGACTCCTATAGAAGGACTAACCTGACATTCCCTCTTGGACTAACCTGGGTCTACTTCCTCTTGGCCAGTGGAGGAGGAGAAACCAGCCTTCTGGAACCAAAAGGCAGCCGAGGCCCTGAATGTTGCCAAGAAGCTGCAGCCCATTCAGACATCAGCCAAGAACCTCATCATCTTCCTGGGGGATGGTGAGTGTGCAAGGCCTGGACACCCTGGGGCCCTTGCACTCCAGGTACCACCCAAGGCCACTGGTGGGTTCAGGCAGGCCTGAGGTTCAGTCCTAACCAGGTTTTGTTCCTTCAGGAATGGGGGTGCCCACAGTGACAGCCACCAGGATCCTAAAGGGACAACTGGAAGGTCATCTAGGACCTGAGACACCCCTAGCCATGGACAGCTTCCCATACATGGCTCTGTCCAAGGTGAGCACTGGGACACTTATCTGGGATGAGGGAGAAGAGGTTGGAAATGGCTGGAGGAGGGAGAATCCAGAAGAACTAGAGCCCAAGTTTGCAACCAGGACAGTGTGGACATGTCCCAGGAAGCAAGGACTAATGTCTACCAGTAGCACACAGCTGAGAATGTCTCTGTCCCCAGACATACAACGTGGATAGACAGGTCCCAGACAGTGCAGGCACAGCCACCGCCTATCTCTGCGGGGTCAAGGCCAACTACAAGACCATTGGCTTGAGTGCAGCAGCTCGAGTTGACCAGTGCAACACCACGTTTGGCAATGAGGTCATCTCAGTGATGAATCGTGCCAAGAAAGCAGGTATATTGGTGATGGGCTTGGGAGCTAGGGCAGGCCTGGATCACTGGGTGATGTTCTATCATCTGCAGGAAAGTCTGTGGGAGTGGTGACCACTACCAGGGTGCAGCATGCCTCTCCAGCTGGCACCTACGCGCACACGGTGAACCGTAATTGGTACTCGGATGCAGAAATGCCTGCCTCGGCGCTGCAGCAGGGCTGCAAGGACATTGCCACACAACTCATTTCCAACATGGACATTGATGTGAGCTCCAAGAACCAGGGGAAGGGCTGGACTGAGGGGTGAACCTTGGACTGGCCATAGTCCCAGGCATAAACAGCCTGAACTCCAGGTCCTCTAGAGTATGTGTAAGAGGGCGTGGAAAGCCCAGGGGAGGCATGTCCCACAGGAGCTGCCTATCTGTCAGGAGTGGGTAGGGGCCCACATAGCCCTAAGTCTACCCACGCCGATTCTCTGACCAAAGGTGATTCTCGGCGGAGGCCGCAAGTTCATGTTTCCCAAAGGGACGAAGGACCCTGAGTACCCAGATGATGCTGCCCAATCTGGAACCAGGCTGGATGGACAGGACTTAGTACAGAAGTGGCTGGCAAAGAACCAGGTGATGTGGGCTCTAGGGCAGGGGCTGCATCAGGGCCCAGGGAAGAACTGTGCCTCTCTGGTCAATATTCTAAGTCTGGCTGTGTCCCTGCAGGGAGCCCGGTATGTTTGGAACCTCAAAGAGCTCCTTCAGGCCTCCCAGGACTCCACAGTGACTCACCTCATGGGTAATGCTCTTGCACCTCTCAGTGGGCCCCCATTGGAGTCTGCATGTGTGCCATGAGCCCTCCTCCCCACTTTCCAGCTTAGTGGTCACCATGGATTCCTATGCCTTTTAGGCCTCTTTGAGCCAGCAGAAATGAAATATGACGTCAACCGAAACTACTCACTTGATCCATCCCTCAAGGAAATGACAGAGGTGGCCATTCGCATGCTGAGCAGGAACCCACAAGGCTTCTACCTCTTTGTGGAAGGTGTGTGGTTGTGCCTGGTGAGAAAGAGGTGGGGCCTGGGGTCCAGAGCAAAGGCAAGCATCTTCTGTATCACTGGCTTCCTACAGGAGGTCGTATTGACCAAGGCCACCATGAGGGCACAGCTTACCTGGCATTGACTGAGGCTGTCATGTTCGATTCTGCCATTGAAAGTGCCAGCCAGCTCACCAGCGAGAAGGACACACTGATACTCATCACCGCTGACCACTCCCATGTCTTTGCTTTTGGTGGCTACACACTTCGGGGGACCTCCATCTTTGGTAGGCCAAAAACAGTGGCAGGTGGTGTTGCCCAAGTTTATGGGGACAGATATTGCTGGGCCTCGGTTTCCTCAACTGTCAAAATGGTACAAACAGCACCTGCCTTGTAGGGATGGGTGAAAATTTTACCATTGAGCAGGCAAATGAGCTTACCTGCACTCCAAAAGCAGGAGTCAGTATGAGAACAAGGTGTCTCCCTTCCTCTGAGCAGGTCTGGCACCACTCAACGCTCAAGATGGCAAACCCTACACCTCCATTCTCTATGGCAATGGCCCGGGCTATGCGCTTGGTTCAGGCAACCGTCCCAATGTCACCAGTGAGGAGAGTGGTAAGTACCACACACTTGCCTAACTGAGACTGCAGGCAGAGGAGACTAGAAGCTCCCCCTGAACACATTGTCTCCCTAGCTGGCACCTCATACCGGCAGCAGGCAGCTGTACCCCTGTCATCAGAGACCCACGGAGGAGAGGACGTGGCGATATTCGCACGTGGCCCTCAGGCACACCTGGTGCATGGAGTGCAGGAGCAGAATTACATCGCCCATGTCATGGCCTTTGCAGGCTGCCTGGAACCCTACACTGACTGTGGCCTGGCCCCCCCTGCAGGCCAGAGCAGCCCCATCACCCCTGGCCAGATCAATACTGAAGTCACAAACAGTGCAGCCCACCAGGGCACTATCCAGCTGTCCCTGCATCTGCTGGTTAGCACACTGCTGCTAGTAGGGACAGCCATGGAGGCATACTGATGGTCAGGTCCCCTATTGGGCTCCTCTCAAGGGTCCACCACTGGTTCCTTTCACCATCACCCCCCACACTCATGGTTTCCATAGCCCTGTCATTCTCATGGTCCCCTTGTTCCACCCAAGACTCTCACTGCAGGTGTTTGAGCCCCAACTTGGTAGGTAGCTCTCTTATTCAGATATTGAGACAGCCATTTAGCCCACAGCTCTAGGGGCCACCTCTACAAAAACAAACTGGCTTTATAACTTGCCCCAGGGCTTTTGCTTTTCAACTGACTATCTCCGGAGTGGCAGGGGTCAAATGGCACCCAAGAGGTTGAGGCCCAGGAACACCCTAGATTCCCCTTCACACCTTTACTGGGATCCAAGTAACTTAGCTTTGCAGGCCTTGGCTTGCTCTCATGTTCTTTCCGTGAAAGGAAATCTAAGCAGAGGCCCAGGAGAACACGAGGTCTCAGCAATCACCCCAAAGCAGCCTTTGGCCTCCAACCCTTGTCCATCTCAGGCTTTACATAGATACCAGATAAAGACTATTTCCTACCCTCGGGACCACCAGTCCTTGAAGAAACATGCTAACAATAAAATGAACTGTTAAGACAACGCCTCCAGTATTTTCTAGAGAGAAAATCCTGGGTGTCTGGGGTGCAGAGGAAGGGTGGACTGGTGGGTGGTGGCTATTAGGAGGTCTGGGAGAGGCTGTCTGAGGAGCAGCCAGTTGAGTGAAAGTGAACAAAGTGGAGAGAGTCACAACCATCAGGCTTTGCCTTCTTACCAAAGGCTGCAGGTCTCCAGAAGGTCAAAATGCTAAGCCACACACAGCTCAACTCTGGCCTAACCCCCCCTTAGATGCATGGAGTGGCTGGGTGAGGAGTGCAGCAAAGGGGCCTGATGAGGGCAGCCTGGGGCTGCAGTGATGCTGATGGCCCAGGTTGAGCCTGGACTTAGAAGCTGCTCATGTGGAGGCCAGGAGAGGACTGGATGACTAGGTCAGCATCAACACACTGTCCTCCACCCTGAGCAGCCAGCAGGTGAGAGTGGCAGCTGGCCTGGGCCAGGCCGACTTGCTGGCAGTTCCTGGGACTCGTTACTACCCTCCATCTCTCAGGTCACATCCTCCTCAAGATGGGCAAAGACCAGTAGGCTCTCCCCAGGGGGTCAGGGCAGAGAGCTGTGATCACATGTGCCCTGGAAAACATCTGGAATTCCACCTCTCTATCCCAGGAGCCAAGGGCATCTCAGGAGGCCCCCAGCCTTACAGGCTCCCATGGGGCAGCAGTGAGCACCAGCATGTGATCAGGGGGTCTGGATTCATTCACTAGTGCTTCCTGTAGTGTGGCTTTAGCAGTGACAGGAAGTTCAAAGGTCACTGAGTAGATAGCTTTAGGAAGCTGGAGGAGGAGCCCTGAGACAAGGAGCTGGGGGTTCAGGAGTGGGGGTTCTGCAGCCTCACCTGCGGTGCTGGACACCTGCTAAAGCTACTAGCAACACCTCCTCGCCCTCAGAGAAGTCCTCCTGGAGGATGTGGTCCAATAGTGACTTCCACTGCAGCTGTAGGGCCAAGGACAGGAAACAAAGGGCACTGAACACATGGGTATCCAGGGACATGGAAAAGCTTGACTAGACCTAAGAAGATGACCCAGAGTTCCGGAAGCTTCCTCATATTGCCTGTCCATCGGGACATCTGAGGGCTGATCTGCAGCTGTCCCAGAGACACTTTGCTCTACATGGAGATGGTGTCTTGCTGAAGAATGATCTTCCTTTGACACACAGTCCTGGGAGGCCTCCAACCCTTGTCCATCTCAGGCTTTACATAGATACCAGACAAAGAATATTTCCTACCCTCGGGACCACCAATCCTGAAGAAACATGCTAACAATAAAATGAACTGTTAAGACAACGCCTCCAGTTCTGTCTAGAGAGAAAATCCTGGGTGTCTGGGGTGCAAAGGAAGGGTGGACTGGCAGGTAGTGGCTATTAGGAGGTCTGGGAGAGGCTGTCTGAGGAGCAGCCAGTTGAGTGAAAGTGAACAAAGTGGAGAGAGTCACAACCATCAGGCTTTGCCTTCTGACCAAAGGCTGCAGGTCTCCAGAAGGTCAAAATGCTAAGCCACACACAGCTCAACTCTGGCCTAACCCCCCCCTTATCTGGGTGAGGAGTGGAGCAAAGGGGCCTGATGAGGGCAGCGTGGGGCTGCAGTGATGCTGATGGCCCAGGTTGAGCCTGGACTTAGAAGCTGCTCATGTGGAGGCCAGGAGAGGACTGGATGACTAGGTCAGCATCAACACACTGTCCTCCACCCTGAGCAGCCAGCAGGTGAGAGTGGCAGCTGGCCTGGGCCAGGCTGACTTGCTGGCAGTTTCTGGGACTCGTTACTACCCTCCGTCTCTCAGGTCATATCCTCCTCAAGATGGGCAGAGACCAGTAGGCTCTCCCCAAGTTGGTCAGGGCAGAGAGCTGTGATCACATGTGCCCTGGAAAACATCTGGAATTCCACCTCTCTATCTCAGGAGGCAAGGGCATCTCAGGAGTCCCCCAGCCTTACAGGCTCCCATGGGGCAGCAGTGAGCACCAGCATGTGATCAGGGGGTCTGGATTCATTCACTAGTGCTTCCTGTAGTGTGGCTTTAGCAGTGACAGGAAGTTCAAAGGTCACTGAGTAGATAGCTTTAGGAAGCTGGAGGAGGAGCCCTGAGACAAGGAGCTGGGGGTTCAGGAGTGGGGGTTCTGCAGCCTCACCTGCGGTGCTGGACACCTGCTAAAGCTACTAGCAACACCTCCTCACCCTCAGAGAAGTCCTCCTGGAAGATACAGTCCAATAGTGACTTCCACTGCAGCTGTAGGGCCAAGGACAGGAAACAAAGGGCACTGAACACATGGGTATCCAGGGACATGGAAAAGCTTGACTAGACCTAAGAAGATGACCCAGAGTTCCAGAAGCTTCCTCATATTGCCTATCCATCGGGACAATGAGGGCTGATCTGCAGCTGTCCCAGAGACACTTTGCTGTACGTGGAGATGGTGTCTTGCTGAGGAATGATTACCTGCTAAAGCTACTAGCAACACCTCCTCACCCTCAGAGAAGTCCTCCTGGAAGATACGGTCCAATAGTGACTTCCACTGCAGCTGTAGGGCCAAGGACAGGAAACAAAGGGCACTGAACACATGGGTATCCAGGGACATGGAAAAGCTTGACTAGACCTAAGAAGATGACCCAGAGTTCCGGAAGCTTCCTCATATTGCCTGTCCATCGGGACATCTGAGGGCTGATCTGCAGCTGTCCCAGAGACTCTTTGCTCTACATGGAGATGGTGTCTTGCCGAAGAATGATCTTCCTTTGACACAGAGACCTGGGGTGGAGAGCAGAGTGACCCAGTCCTTCTCTGCATGCCCTGTCCCTGCCCCGACCTAGCCCTGGCAGCCCCAGCTCCTGATGATCGAATCGGTTGGTCACTGCTCCAGTTTTTCATGATCCCTCACAAATCTGCTGCTTCTGCCTCAGATCTACTTCCAACAGCCTGAGCAGATCCTCTAGGGCATCCTGTATGCCACCAGGATCTGCACCAGGACACTGCTCTTCCATGAGGCTCAGAGTGGGAGAGATTCCTCTGGGATCTGATCACCATCCCCTCGGGGCTATTGTCTCTCCCTCTGACTTCCTTACTTAGGTGGTAGATATTATGGCTTCCAAGGCTTGACCCTGTGATTACTCCAGGAAAATTTACTCCCTCTTCCAGGGCTTTGTCTGAGCCCACCTCCCCTTAGCTCCTCTCACAGTAGCAGGTCACCTCCTGGATTCTCAACATCTGGGGAGTTCCCAGGGATAACACTCACTACTGCACAGTGGGAAGAGTTTGTGTGGTCCAGCCTGACAGTGAAGAGGAACACAGCTGTGCTGTCCGTGTCCTGGGCCTCATTCAGCAGCTGGAGAAGAATCAGAGTCATTGCAGCTAGAGACATTGGCCCAAGTGTTCAGAGGCACAGTAGTTAAGGCATCAGTGCTCCTGGGGCTCCTTCATCTTTTGTGGGCTTCACTCATCCTACCACACAGAGACTGTCCGTATAGCCCTCACTGAGCTAGACCCTGGCCAGGCCCCAACAGCTCTGTGGTGAGTGCCCCTTTTGATCCTCCCACAGCAGAACACAAATCTTACCACACAGAGACTGTCCGTATAGCCCTCACTGAGCTAGACCCTGTCCAGGCCCCAACAGCTCTGTGGTGAGTGCTCCTTTTGATCCTCCCACAGCAGAACACAATGCTCAATGGAGCAGCACTAGCCATGTGTGACAGACTTCCTTGGATGCCCTTCAGAGGTTGAGAAGGCCATGGGGTGCCTGAGCCTTTTCCCCTGACTCCTTAAACACCCAAGAATACCTGGGAAAGGTGCCATACAGTGATGACAGGGTCACTGAGCCATACAAGTGACAAGAGGGTCACTGACTGGGTTGGGGTTAAATGTCTTCTAGACATAGCCCACCCCAGTGCCCCGGTGCTTTGTACCTGCTCACCAAACTCATGATGATCCTGTGTGTTTGGAACCGCTGCACAGATGAAGTCTGCTGCATGTGACACCAGGGGAAAGAGGCCTAACCAAACCATCTTTCTTCAGCAGGAGGCAGGCTGGTCACTTTTTCTGTCTGTTCCTGGGGGAGTCTCCCATGAGAGAAAGGTAGACAATGCCTGGGGTCCTGGAGCAGCCCCCTGTGCCTGCTGGGCCTTCTGGAGGTCCACATCTATCCCCAGTCCCTGCCATGTGTTCCCTGAGTGTCAAGGTCTGTCACCAAACTCTTCCAGAGCTGTCCTGATGAGACCTGGGAGACAGAAGCCGTCAGGATCCACTGCGGCTGCTCCCTCACAGAGACTACACAGACACGGACAACCTGCCCCCGAGAGTTCATTCTACCAGTCTGGTGTCTTCCAGCCCCAGGCAGAGGTTATTCAAAAGAAGGAATAGAGCCCCTCCCCCTCACTCACAAACACACTTACAATCACTGTGTATATTCACTAG